GAGGACGTCGTGGAGGACGAGGAGGAAGAGGTGGAGATGGGGGCCAAAATGAAGCAAATGAGTGAATTTATCGTTTTATCCTGCAGTAGTGATCTATCCATGTTGTTTTGGTGCTTTTTAGGTGTTGTTATTTGAGTTTGCATTGTCTAAAAACTATCCTACGCACTTAAGTTGTCGAATGAATTTTCTGGATCATTTTATCAAGAATCAGTATCTTCCCTCAACACAAAAAAGTTGGGAAAATCAACCACGATCGCATAGAATTTTACAGATCCCAATTCCGAGTCCAAACGAGTGAGATAAGTGACGTCAAAGCGCGATCGTATCGTTAAAGTAACTTTTGCGTACTAAAAACTAAAACGCGCGTATCTTATTCGTTTGAGGTCGAAATAACGAGCCGTTTGCGACAGCGCGATCGTAACGACAAGGAAAACATTTTAGATTTAACAAAATACTTGGACTTCAAATGCAAACGGTAATGAAAATTTAAACAAGCGATCAATTTAGTAGCAGAATACAAGTAAATGCAAATTAAGTTGATGGTTGTCCTGGGCAACGCCTCTTGTCGTGACCAGGTTGTCTGCACTTAGAGCATCGCTTCGGTCCCCTTCTCGTCCGTTCAACTTGATCCATCTCATTGTGTATCCTTTCAACTCTAGGACGGCCTTTGGTGCGTTTTAGGTGCAACGGTGGGATAATCAACTTTCCAGCGTATATAGGCCAATACGCTTCATCTGGGATGGGGCTCAAAGCTGCATTATATGAGTTCCGTATCGCTTGTTCAGTGTAGTAAGGACTCACCAGGCTGTTTCTGTTCATGGTTATTGACTTAGCAACCGCCATTGCATGTGAACAGGGTATCCTTTCGTTCTGATACTTTTGACAAGAACACTCCCCTAATTCGTAGTGCAATTTGACCGTTTGACGATTGTGACCACGTCTCCCTCCACCCCATATACCTGTTTCGACAGCGAATATTCCTTCACTGCGGTTAAAAAGAACAACCTTATGCTTACTTGATTTTTCATCGTTCTTCTGCATTTGAGCGAATACGTCATGTGCTACTGAATGACCTTGCAACTCCCTCCCTATAGCTAGCTGTAGCCGAGCAACTCGCCACTCGTTGACCTTCCAATAAGACATTTCCACGATGACAGAAATAGGCATCGCTCGAAGACCCTTGTACACATTATTTATACTTTCTCCATGGTTGGTAGTTGCAATGCCCCATCTGGCCCCGTTGTCCATATGGAACGTCCACATGGGCAACTCTTGACCTTCAGCCCATACTGCTCCAGCTCGGTGGGTCTGACTGATCGTTTTCATGATGTGCTCGTACTTTTTTGGTTGATGTGCAACCGCTAAAAGGTGCACAAAAGACTAACTGGTCAATACATGATGAATAACATCAGCTTATCAGCTTAATAAACACAAACTTATATCGCATAAGTACAACATTAGGACCTGCATTCCAAAGTAGATTTTTGATGTCTTTCTTCTTCCCAAATTTGTGTTGGAAATTGGCGAGCCAGTGTCGAATACACCATCTCCATCTCCACCCCCACTCGTCGGGAAAACCACCAACAGCATTCCTTATCCCCGCATGTCGATCGGATATAATCGTAATATCTTCCCGCTGTGTCACGTGTTCGTGCAGTTGGTCAAAGAACCAAGCCCAACTTAAGATGTTCTCCCCTTCCACTAATGCAAATGCAAGCGGGAAAATCCGCCTGTTTCCATCAACGCCAGTGGCAATTAGAAGACATCCTCTGTACTTCCCAGTAAGGAAAGTTCCGTCAACCTGAATAAAAATTTAGAATATAATTAGTATGAAATATACTTAACATCAAAGAATACAACATTTAAAACCGGAACTAGTTGGTAAAATACCTGAATAACCGGTATGCAGAACCCAAAACCGTCAATGCATGGTTTAAAAGCCCAAAAAAGACGATGGAACATCAGCTTATCCTGTACTCGAACTTGATCCTCAGTGTATACATTGTTGTATACTGGGACGAAAACAGTCCCAAGATTGGACTCCTCCATTGCTCCCATAAGTCTAGGGAGTAAAGCATACGAATCCTCCCAATCACCATACACCTCAGCCATGGCTTTCTGCTTACCATGCCATGCTTTTTTGTACCTTATCGTGTAAGAATGTCGATCCTTCACCTCTGCCATGATAGCTTTCACCTTGATATCTGGTTGTGCTTCTATAAGGTGCTTAATAGTTCTCCCAACCTTCTTTGCTTTTAGTTGCCTGTGATCTTGGGAAAGTATAGAAGAGGAGCATGTGTGGATCGTCTCAGCTGTGCGAATCACCCAAGCACCCTTTCTCTTCATATTTGCAGCCCGCAGTTGCCACGTACAACCCTCTGCATCATGCTTGCATATGACATGTAGTTGTTTACTGTCAGAATATTTTACCTTCCACTCGAAATTGCGCCTCAACGCCTCTTCTGTAAAAGCATCATGCACAGCGTCTTTCGATGTGAACGCCATACCCACCTCCAAATTGGCCGTCGGATTGTACACTGGCATAGGGACAAAGTCGGGGGGATCATTCTGACTATGTAAAAATTGAGTTGGAACCTGTGTGTAATATGGCGTGGGTGCCTCACAAAATGCCGCCTCATCCTCGTTATCATCAGTATCTTCCTCCTCCTCGCTCACTGATATCAAATCTTCCTCAGTATCCTCGTCGCTCGACTCGAATGGATAGCTCGGGCTAGAAGGATCAACATGACCACGATTACCAACATCGTCCTCTCGCTCATGTGAAGTACGCCCTGATCGAATGGTATTCTCGATTCCATACCACTCTGGCCCCCAAGCAGGCCATTGAACACCATCGGCCTCAACAAATGGGGCTGGTTTAGGAGGTTGCGAGTATTGGTCCCATCCTGCACTACTCGATCCACCGTAGTTGATTGAACCACCACCCTCCCCGTAACCTCCTGTATAACCACCGCCTTGGTAGTTGCTCGAACTACCACCCCATTCGTACCCTCCTGCAAAACCATCATCATAAGAATACTGGTGAGAATGAGATTCACCGAGCGCCTCGGTCTCAACATACACCTCTGCAAGCCGGACTTGGTTATCGCTTAGGAACTGTAACATCATCATAACCGTGTCATCATCGTTTATGACAACTTCTTGGAACACGACCCCGCCAGCACTCATGTCTGGATACCGGTAAGTAATTTTGCCAAGTCTCGTCTGTCCGCTCGTACAAACCCTTTCTGCACAAAGATCACAGAGTTCTTGAAAATTGAATCGGGATTCAATTTTCAGCATAATGGATTCGCCGTCCTCATAATCAATGCCTATGTAAGAGTTTGTCACCCTTCCATTCCACCGAATAGTAAGATGAAACTTCTTGAATTTACCCATATCTACAATTTACAATAAGTATCTATTAGCTTAAAGACAGTAAAATTAACCAAAATCATATTGTACAACTAATATTAAATCATACCATAACTAATGAAAATAAATTCAACTAACTAACAACAACATAATACGAAAATTAAATCATACTATAACTAACGAACATGAGTTCAACTAACTAACAACAACATAATACGAAAATTAAATCATACTATAACTAACGAACATAAGTTCAACTAACTAACAACAACATAATACGAAAATTAAATCATACTATAACTACTAAAAACATAATTAGACTATAATACGAAAAGTCTCAACATACCGAAAAATTTCTGTTCTGTGTATTATGCTCGATTTTGGCTGCTGAAATTTGAAGAAAGGGGAGTGGTTATGTTTTTACAACTGCTGGTGGTGTGCAATTTATAGGAAAATCTGCCAACTATTCACCGTTTTTGTCGAAAACGGTGAACACTATCACCGCGTTTGTCTCAAACGGTGAATAGGTGGTAGCTGCTACCTAATTTTGATCTACCAGGGGTGGGAAACGTGGGAAAAATCACCGCGTTGATTGACAACGATGAATGGTTTCACCGTTTTTGACCAAAACGGTGATGTATTCACCGTTGTAAACTAACGCGGTGAATACTTCACCGTTTTAGTGTGAAACGGTGAATACTTCACCGTTTTTGTTTAAGACGATGAAGCATTCACCGTTTTGGTCAAACGCGGTGATAATCTTCAACGCTTTTGTCTAAAACGGTGATGCCCAAACATGTGTACTTTGGGAAATTTTTTTATAACTCATGTATTTTGGGAATTTTTTTTAAGAACGTGTGTACAGTGGGATTTTTTCCTAAAATTACTATATTTTTTAGTGGAGAGCCTCATTATAGGATCACTAATCCAAACGGGCTTATGTTTTCGCTGATTAAAAGTCCACGAAACGTGTGGATAAAATAAACACAATACAATGCCACTTGCTCAGATAGGGACCCACTAGCAGCCTACCCGCAGAAAGAAAAATCGAGAAGGACTCAGCGATGAACCTCCACCACAATTGAGATCCCAGAAAAAGAAAATGTAAAATGAGACAAAACAGCACCGCTATCCAATCACATTCCACCATTTGATTTGCTGCCTCCTCCTGGCCATTCCTTTAGATACTGCGCAGCGCTCCTAACCACGTGTCGCCCAGTCAGGTCACCGCTTCCACGTGACGCTCACGTGACCAGGCCTCTCTCTAGTCTCTCTCCTTCCCTCCGCTCCGGCAAACTCAAGTTTTACTGTTCTAGGCTTCTTTGATTAGCATGCCTTCACCTTGCCTTCCCCGAGTGTCTTCCTTTTTCGATCAGTGAGTGGACGAGCTTGCGGATTTGTTGATTTTTTTTCAGCGATTTGATTAATTTTTGGGTTTTCCACTTTTTCCATTTGTTTCCTCGAGAATTTTCCATTGTTTCAAGATGCTTTTAGCTAGTTGATTTTATGGTTACTTGACGTTTCTATTTCTTCTTCGGTTTTTCTTGAGGAATTGGCGATGTGTGCAATAAGCCCAGATCGTTTCTATCAATCGGGTTGCGACTTTGTGGTCCTTTTGTACAGCTATGTTTGATTGGAACGACGAAGAGGTAACCCTTTCTTTGAATTGATTGTCTACTCTTCTCGCTTCATTTACTGTTTCTCTCTACTTCTTCCGGGTGTTCTTCGTTCCTCAGAATCACTCAGTCGTGCCTTTGTTTTCTCGGTGTTCTTGTGCTTTTTCTGATTGCTAAACATGAGATGAGGCGATGAAAGACCTAGATCCTGGCATGGTAATGGAGTTTCCTGAATGGTTTACAGCTCAGTTTGCTGTATCTTTTAGTAGGATGGATGGTCAACGTGGATTTCTGTAATAAGCTAGTGTCAGTCTTCCCTAGGAATCTCCTTTGGCTTTGAGATAAACTCTGGTGGGAAGTCTGTGGTTGTTTTTTGGCAGATTGTTAGCAATGTCCCATTTCATGTTATGGTATGGTTGATCTGAACTCTTGGGAAGCTGCATACTATATATGGAATTCAGATGGAAAGAGTACTTTAGGTAGTGATACAATAACTTTCTCTGAACTCTTGAATGACGGATGGCAGTATTTTGACATTCACTCTGAGATCTTTATAAGTTGCCCAAACTAACCTTTTGATGGTTAGAATTAAGTATTTGTAGGATTTCTGCTGTAAATAATTTTTGCACTAATGGAGTTATCTGGGTAAAAGCAGTTCCCTGAAACTTTTATGTCGCAACAATAGAGTGACATGCCTTCCTTCGTTGAGGACTAGAGGTGGATTATATGTGAAACTAGAAGAGAAAGCAGATAATCGTTTTAACTGGAGTTCCAAAATCTGAGGGATTCCAAAAACTTGAGCTACACATTGAGATTCAGGTAGTCATTCTTCGTCTGAGGATTGGATATGGCCTGATTCTAATAAGTTATAGGTTAGAGTTGGAAGGTGCTCTAAAATTTTGAGGATGAACCGAGTTCTATGGGCAGCCCACTAGTGACTGTTTCTAGTAGTGAAATGTGTGCTGGATTTCCGTGGGTGCGTGCAAACCATTATGGAGAGTTTATTGAAATAGAAATACGTGGAACCTAGGGAAATGATCTTTCTCTTTTTCTTCCAGAAATGGGAGCAGAGATTGGAAGCCGACTGGAGGGTAAGGGGAAGTACAAAAGAATGTAGAGAAATGATGAGAGGCAAACTGTTAGGATCGGAACAAATGCTTACCATGTGAAGGTGTTCTAAAACTTTTGATTCTGCCCGAATGAGATACAATGCTTCAATTAACTCACTTGAGGATTTGACATAATTTCATTCTTCGTCTGCTCACCATATAACTGCTATTTATGCATACATCAGCACCAGCAATGGGGTAAGCTGCTGCACCGTCGACTTGTTTAGTTGTCTGGTAAACAAAAATCATTCGAGTAATTGAGTTTTAGTACATCAAATACTGCATCTGAAATATTTACTGCTAAGTGCTAACTCACACATGAATGATGGGGAAAAAATGGCTGTGTTAGTCTGGTTTTTTTTCTTTCAAATTCTAGGAACTTGAACTTTAGCTATATTAGAAGATAAGGAGAATGATGTTTGTTATGATTTTGCATAAGAAGTATCGTTGACGTGATCTGAAATAGGGTTTGTAGTAATAGCATAGTTGATCAGCAATAAAAAAAATGAATGTAGCTTATAAAATGTCAGTTTAGATTATATCATTGAGAATCAATTCTTATTTCAAGGGACAAAGTGTTTTTTTGGGTAATGTAGCTTCTAGCACTTGCAATGAATAGTTGTTCGTAAAATTTAGACTTAAACATTGTGTTTGTTTGAGCTACTTTCCCAACTTAAATTCTATGTACTAATAAAATGAAACAATTCGCAATACACATACACAACTGACTGGATGTATAGTATTTATCTTCACAGAGAACTTACGAGAGTTCTAATCTGTTTGAATAACTTTAACAATCATCTCTGTTGTTTGTTGTGGGTAGATAACCCTTGCCACTTGATTTGCAGTTAACAAGCATAATATGGGATGCAGCTGAGGGCAGTGACAACCATATCGTACCTTATCCAGGGGCAAGTGAAGCTTATAGCAGAAAGAGGGAATGGACTCATGAAGCTAGTAACAATAAGCTAGAGGAGCAGAAAGCTTTTGTAACTGAAGTTGCTACCAATGGCGAAAAGCCGGAGAGCACTTCAAACGTCCACAATAGTGAAGGAACTTCAACCTCAGGATATCACATGGACCCTTGGCCTGCCAAAACTAATCAGGATTCCTTTGAAACTTCTGGGTCTAGTTTAAGTGAGATTACCAAATTTGACTCTTCTGGAGGTGGTGATATATCATATTTAAAATATAAAAGCAATTAAAGATACTTTTTCCTATAGGATGTAGGCACTCTAATGTGAGGTTCTGATTGCAGTAGAGGCAGCCAAGGCCAATAAAGACCTTGAAATTTACCAAAATCCTGATGAAGGTGAGGAACAAGCTGGCTTTGTTGATTACAGTTGGGCTGATATTGGAAGCTTTGATGACCTTGATCGAATTTTCAGGTAATCCACGTTTCAAAATTTGGAATTCTGGGTCATATTATGGCTGCCCAGTTCATCTTCATAAAGTTCTGTTTGTTGCTTTGAGGAGCTGCATTAAGATATACAGTCCAATATTTGTGTAATAATAACCATCTAGTTTAGTATCCTAACAAGTGTTTTGATTTTGCCAGCAACGATGATTCCATCTTTGGTAATGTAAATCTTGGTACTTCTGAAGGGCTGTGGTCTTCCTCGAAAGAAGTGCCAAGTAGCCCAGAGAAATCCTTACCCCTATCCTCGGAGCCTCCCAGTTTAAAAGTAGGGGTCCCAGGGGGTACATCCGTGCAGTTTGGAGTCAGAAAAGGATATGCACAACAGGAGGAGCAGCAGTTTGCCCCTGGTTATGCGGGAGTGACTGATCACACATCTTCTGCTGCACAGAGTGCACATGCCATTGGGAAGTCCGCAGAAAATGGTGGCACTGAAAGTGATATCACTGTTAATGAGCAGGTACTGAAAGTAAATTTATGAACAATGGATATCTCATTTATTTATTTGTGTTATGGAATCTCAAATGTTTGTTCTTTTCACTGTTTTTCAGACAGATTTGAAAGGACAAATAAGGGATACTGCAGCGAACTCACGGCTAATGGTGGAAAGTGCTGTAATGTCCAATAAATTGGCGGATAAGGTAGCTCCTCTCTCGGTGGATTTGTGAGAATGTTAATTAGTATAATGCTCGACATGTGATACAGAGAATGTCCTATGTCCTTGCTGTGCTTGTGGTGAACATATTTTGAGATGGATAAAGCAGCACTTATGCTGAAAAAATCTCGATCCCGTCCAGGTGTGGCTACCAATTGAAGAAACTGGACAGGATTTCTAATTATTGCATTCCAATCCTGTCCAGTCCATACTGACACAACTCTTGGCAGTAGGCACTACAATCACTGTTAGGCTTGATTGTTTTCATTATGTTTTATCAGGTCATCTCCAATCCTCTATGGTCGCCTGAATATGACATTAGGGAATATGAAATCAGCAGTTGGCTTTTCTGAAGCTCCAAAATTTGAAAGCATTTATCAATTTGAAAATGTCCAATGCCCCGTTAATTAACTGGATCATACCGATCTTGCATAAGATGTAAGGTTGTGAAGCTAACAGTTACCTTTTCTTCTTGTTTGTTTAATTTGTGCAAATAGGTCCACAAGCAAAAGAAAAACTTGAAAGGTCGGAAAAAGATGATACAGAAAAGTCAATTGAACTCATGCCCAACTGCATATCATAACTGGAATACATCGGGAACTCATCCTAGTCAATTCAAGGATTTAGTTGCACCTCTCATAGTGCAATCTTCTCCTTCTCCTGTTCTCAGACAGCAAATGCAAGTCTCCAGTCCTTTTGTGGCCTCCTCTGGATATGGGAATGCTAATCTAACAAACTGTTCATCTGTGCCTGTGATATCTCATGCTCAGTCATTGGAATTCAAGCATCAGTCTGTGCCTCCTGGCTATGATGTGTCGACAAATCAAACCTCCATAAACAATTTCAACAGCACTGCAGAGAAAGGTAAGATGATGACATCTCAGGAAAAAATTGAAAAATTAAGGAGGCGACAGCAGATGCGGGCTATGCTTGCCATTCAGAAACAGCAACAGCAGTTTGTTAATCATCAAGTTCCATGCCGAGATCATTCCATCAACAAAAGAGCATGGGAGGAAACTCAAGTTCAGCACAGTAGTGGCGCAGCTGATCTAGTAGGAGCTGAGGACCCAAGTAGCTTATCTACTTTTGAGCTGGAATCACCACTTGCTCAGGATGATTCTAGTATGGTGTCTCTCCCTGTGAAACACTATGGAACAGAAGAGTCAACCCTTCACCAGCTTCAAGATATAATTGCAAAGGTATGCATGCTGGGCTTGAAATGATTCCATTTTTGTTTGCTGAATGAGCAATAGACCAACGCCAATGCCAAATCCCATATATTTTGGCTGCAGTTGGATGTCAGGATTCGACTTTGCATACGAGATAGCTTGTTTCGCTTGGCTCAAAGTGCAACGCTAAGGCATTCTGTGAACGAAACAAGATGTACTAACATCAGTTGCAAGGATGAGCTTGCTCTTAAACAGAAAGCTACCAGTGGTCATGACAGGTTAGCGGCAATATACATTACTCAAGCTCACATGGTCATATCCATCCAGGTCATTTGGCTTGTTTTAGTTTTCAAAAGCCTACTTTGATGCTATTATGAACTCTATTCTACATTGTTGTAGGAGTATCATGATACATGAAGAAGAAACCAAGACCAACCCAATCGATCGAATCGTGGCTCATTTGCTCTTTCATAGACCTCGGGAACTGCCTGGAAAGCTTCCTGATACTCCTGAGTCACCACCTGTTTCTTCCAAGCCCCCACTGGAATGCAAGGGTGAATCAGAAGAACAGCAAATGAGCTTCCTCTCTGAGACACCAAGAGATGATCAACAAAACTTTTCGGGCTCTAGAACTTGCCTGTCAGGTGATCACAACCCTACCGATTCTCGGACTCAAAATGTTACATCATCGGAAACGTCAGAGAATGCATCAAACAGCGTACTGGGAGGTGAGGTTGGTAGAGGTGTGGAAACCTCAATATGAGCAAAAACAGTGCTCCGCCGGTGGATCTATATGTATAATAGGGGTAAATTTCTTTCCTGTTGATCTCCGTCATGCATGCCAGTATAAGTTGGCACTTGTAACCAGTTTTTTATCGTCCGCTAAGTGGAATCTCGTTAACTGGGGAGGATATTCATAGGGCACAAACACAAGACTTATACTACTCTAAGGGGTCGTTTGGAGAATGAGTTTAAATCTACAGATTGTCAATAATCTAAAGATTCTAACTCTTCAGATTGTTGAAAATAGATTTTAAAATGTTTACTGTTTGGTAATTGTGATTGTTAACAAAATAAAAAAAATTAATTTTATATTAAATACAATGTTTATCCTTAATAAAAAAATTAGAGTGGTTCGAGAAATATTAAAAACTTTATTGATAAATATATTTCATGTGATAAATAAATAAAAGGAAGAGAAAAATTAGGAGAGAAAAAACCTCACAAATCAAGATATAGAATCTCTCTGATTATGAGAGATTTGATATCCGCAAATTTTAGAGATTTGAAATCTATAAAGCTAGAATCCACAATACAAAATGCAACAAAAAAACATAACTTTCTCCAAAATCTACGGATTCAGTGAATGCATGTCCTGAATCCTGTTCTCCAAACGACCCCTAAATTTGTAAGAAGCTTGAGGAAAATATGCTGTTGAATTAAATACCTTCGGTTCATATTTCGAAATCGTGGCGGCCAAGGGCTATTTGGCAGTCATGCTTTATGTTCGGAATTTTGGAGACCGGACCCTTGTTGAGTTGTTGTTTCCCACCAAGGTTGCCAAACCTGTTTATGCTGGTGTGTCGGTTTTGTAAGTGGAATGGTCTGACCGTGGTATAATCAGTATTCATGCTGGTTGTGCCGGTTTTAATAAAATACATGAGGAAAATGGAAATCCTCAATTCCAAATAAATTAGTCATAAAAACGCAATTAGAAGAATTATTTCGCACAAAATAATTTATAGCTAAGAATTGGTAACTAATACTAAACAATTAGATGCTTAAAATATAAAATTTTACTAAATTAATTTTATTAATGTTTATAATGATTTGTGTAAAATTTAGTATTAGATATATAACATATAAGGTTAATATAGACAATAAAATTGCTTGTAGCCTACTGGTGTATAAGTTAAACTAAAATAAACATGAGGTACTTGGTTCAAATTCTAAGGAGGATGTTTATTTTTGGATATAATGTGTGTAACATTAAATTTCGGTTTTTGGTCTAACCGGTCGGAATTTTCGGATTTGACCGGATCTGACCGACATTGACCGGATCTGACCGGCATTGACCACAATTAAATACCGACTCCTTTCCAGCCGGTTTGCTGACCGGTACCGGTTGAACCGGCCGACATGAAACCGGTTTGACAACCATGTTTCCCACTAAGTTCAATGATACTCAGGAGAGAGAGTAGTGATGAGGTCATCAAGACCAAGCATGCTTAAGAGGAAGGATCAATGACTCTAGGCTGATAGAAACCCGATTCCCGGATTTTATCATAATAATTTAAGTCATATTAGGATAGTCTATTAGATTTTTCCAGTCTTTCGTTATAAATAGGGTTAATACCCTAGTTTGGCCCGAAGTTTTGCGTTAGTGACAGTTCTGGCCTCATTTTTCAAATAAGACATTTATGACATACTTTCAAAATTATTGGACAAATTTGGCCCGACATTTGGGTTGACCGTTAAACATAATAGTAAAACATTTGCACCGTTAATTTACCGTTAATGACTCAGCAAAAACTACTAATATGGCAATGACATGGCTGCCACGTATTTTCACAGAGATTAAAACTAAAAAATCATGAAAATGAAATAAAAAACAAAATTTTGAAGAGTGAATGTCGTCTTCTCCACTGCCAGTATTGCACCAAACCCAGACACCCACCAATCGGAACCTCAAAACTCAGTAACCCCCTCCCACCGACAGAACATAATTTTGTTATCATTAAGGAAGCTCTTCAAGCAAAGATCTAAGTAATAATTTCACCGATGATTGATTAATCCCCCCAAACTCGTTATAAATATATACCTTGCATTTTATTGAGAATCAATTAGCAGAATCTCTATCTAAACCCTAATCTTTTTCTCTTTTAAATCTCGTCTATCCTTCTTTCTAGAGGCTTCGGCCGTTCTTTCTGTTCTTCCCCAATTACGTTTCGAATCCCTAATTCTCTTCTAAATCCCTAAATCTCCATCAATTTCCAATTTCCCAACCCATTCGATAGAACCCTAGAAATATGTTTCTATCATTTGGTATCAGAGGCATGGTCACAAATCTGAGTTCGTCACAACTCTCAACCAGGGACGAACGTGTATTTGAAGACCTCGAACCAAGCATCACTAGGACGGAGTATGGTTGGTATGTTCGCTTCTCCTTCTTCTTTCCCGGGTTCGAGGGAGAGCACATAGAGGTACAGAGAACGTCATTGAATGAGCTGATTATTACGGCAAGGCGTCCATTGGGTTACGATCATAGATGGATTCGTTTCAAGAGGCACATCGAACTTGAGGAATTCTACGATGTTGCACACTGCAACGTTGGCTTCGGAATATGCAATCTCAACGTCCGGGTTCCAAGTATAATTCCCCCAGTTGTAGCCGAAGAAGATGATCCAGCCGTGAAAGACTTTAGCGACCAGCAACCGCTTCCGACGACCACCGCAGGGCTTCCTGATTCGCTGCTTTCAACAACCACCACCAACCTGTCGAGTTATGAAGCCAAGACAAAACCTCCGCCAATTAACGCTGTGCCAACCACCGATCACCAGGGAAAGTACTCGACGCCACTCGAGCCGGTGGAGAGTGAGGTACTATCGAAGAAGAAATAAGCGGAGGAGACTCAACAAACCCCGACATCTTCCTTCGAGGCGATTGTAGGGGAGCAATCCATAGCGGCTTCGGCTGCCACATGGAGCGCTAAGGAGCCTGCATCGAATCTGGAAGGGGAGAAGGTAAATCCTAGAACGAACCCAATCCTATTGGAAACTCCAATCGATGACAGGAAATTCAGGAAGAAGAGACAAATGTGGAAGTTGCTGAAGGATGAAACGCCGGAGCAGATTCACAAGGATCCTTCGATAGTGGCGTTGAACTTGCTTTCACTCCTGACCGGAGAGGTGAGGGCGACTAGAAGCACCAGGAGTCGCTCGAGATCGACAGAGCTCCCTGTCGCCACCGTTCGACAGGGAGAGGCAGTGGCGACGTCCGCTTCCCAGCTCGAGCCACAGAAACGAGAACCGAGGAGGGCTCCACGGGGCGCCCTGGTCAACGGGAGAGACGCGGCGACAACCTGGAAAAAGGAGCCTTTGTCGGTTTGTTTAACCACCTCTCTAGAGAAGAAGAAAGTGGCACAGGCGAGGAGGGAGCTGCCGAAGGAAGGAACGTCGGAGTCTGGTGACCGCGCGACAACTGCGGTCGTGGCGGAAGCTGGCTCACCTCCTAACCGTCGTGGGGTGGTATGCTTGCCGGTGGAGATGGGGGCGACGAAGGCGGCCGACACGATGAGGGGTAAGAAGTTAAAGGAAGAGATTGGAGGTTGTGGATTTCCTTCTCGTACAACCCTAGATTGCGCAACATAGCAACAAGCCATTCCATCCGGTCGAACGGTTTGGGTCATCGGTCTAGATGGGTCAACGTGAGCGGGCCGGGTAGAAGTAATCTACCTTGGACTTGGACTGGCTTTAAAGAAGAAGCTCAAGGGGTTTGCTTTGGGTCAGGCCGATTGAATCACTTGTTTGGAGAGGCCAAACCTTGGATCAACACATGAAGAGCTTGGTGGGCCAATGGGAGGATGTGGGCCATGATTGGGAAAGATATTCTCTTTCTAGGTCAAAGCAGAAACAACAGGAATTTGATCAGGATTCATGCCATTCAACAAATCAAACCTCAATGAAATATAATCAAATCAATGGATTCATACTTGGGTTCATACAATCATACCTAACATACAAATCTAGGGTTCTTCATACCCAGGTGAATGTGGAAGTTACTCCATGGATAGAGAAGCAATCTCTAGCTCAGAAGCAGAAATCATGTTGTGAAGAATAGGGTTCTGCTTCTGGTCGCCAATTGGCACTTCTCCAAGCGTTATCCGAGCTCCACTGATGATGAAGATCGGTCTAAGGCGCTTGGGAACTTTGGTTCGTCGCTCTCTCTCTCTCTCTAGGTATCACTTTCTTTCTCTAAAACTCAGAACCCTTCAAATTTTCCCTTCTTTTCCCTTAAGAACCTGCCATTCGCGATCCCCGGTCGGGTATTTTAGGTGACCGGCCAGGGGCTTTTGAAACGTACCGCGTTGTCAGATGATTAATCCCCGATCGAGGTCGAGAATACCCGATCGAGTATTTTTGCTCTCTGGCCGGGACCCATTCTGTTTCTCAAACGTCCAAAAGTGTTTTTCCCCGGCCTCCATGGAATTTTACCCGGCCGGGTATTTTTGATCATGGCCGGGTATTTTGCTCCTCCAGCACCCTTCAACTCAACCTTCCTCCTTTTGACCCGAAACTCGTTTCTTGTCTCAATGTCTACGCCAAGCCCTGAAATATGACATAAACACATAACCTAGCGTGAAATCGGCTTAAAACACGAGAATCAACATCTCCAACAGCTCAAGAATAGGGGTAAAAACATGTGCAATCAATGGTCTATCAGTGGGCTATGATTTGAGGGAGATAAGTTGGAAAGAAAAAGAAGATGGGCTGAGTCTGGAAGGAATTAAGCCCAACTTAGGCTTTGGCTTGAAGAAAGCAGATTTGGAGGGAGTTGTTGTGATGGTGGATGGGCTTATAACCGAGTCAAGCCCGCACGAAATTGAGAAGAGGAACGGTACAAGGAAGCTTGACATTGGGTTGGGCCCTGCCTCATTCCTTAAAGCAATTGTGGGCCAAGCCAAAAAGGAAGAAAGAGCAGGTTGGGAGAAGCTATAGGTTATTTTCATAACCAAATCTATGGAGCAATTCATGGAGAATTACCTTGAAGACCCCAAGCTAGAGCAGAAAGAAAAACAAATTTTTGATCCTTATTTCGTGGATTTTGAAAAAGATGAGAAAGAATTGTTCGGTCGTGGAAGAGGAGACATGTGTCACGTGAATCGAGAAGAGTTGATTCAAGTTGGAGTTGCGAGAGAAGAGTTCATTCATGGACTCAAGTGCAACTAGAAACGAAGAAAGCGGAAGTTCAAGGAAAAGTGGGTCGAGTCGGTCAACCTTGAGGGCAAGGTTGGTCTCAAGGGGGAGGGGATGATAGAAACCCAATTCCCAGGTTCTATCATAATAATAATAATAATAATAATAATAATAATAATAATAATAATAATAATTATTATTATTATTATTTATTTAGATATGGTTAGTAGTATTTGAGTCATATTAGGATAGTCTATTAGGTTTTTCCAGTATTTTGTTATAAATATGTACCTTGCGTTTTATTGAGAATCAATTAGAAGAATCTCTATCTCAAATCTCGTCTATCCTTCTTTCTAGAGGCTTCAGCCATTCTTTCTATTCTTCCCCAATTCTGTTTCGAATCCTTAATTCTCTTCTAAATCCCTAAATCTCCATCAATTCCCAATTTCCCAACCCATTCGATAGAACCCTATAAATAGGTTTCTATCAAGGGCTAAGGCTTTTCGAGATCAAATTGCTAGTTATTTGGCTAAGGACTTGGAAGGCACAAGTTTGGATTTGCTAGAAGGAAAGTCAATCACACTTTTGAGCTTTGTAGATCAAGAGGAGAGCGAAATTGGGCTCAAAGGGAGAAAAGAAGGGTCGACCATGGATAAGAGTTCTCAAGGTGTGAATGGAATGTCAAGTGTGAAAGGAGGTTCTTGTTGATGGACTTACTATTTGTTAAGTTTTTTGTTTTCATTTTTCAAGTAGGTTTTGTTTTTCCCTGGTTTCTTTAGAGTTGGGTTCGAGTGTCTATATAAGGAGGCCAAACCATTGTGTTTTGTGATCAAGTTATCATTAATCAGAGCTATTTCGCGTCTTGGGGTTCACTCTAGGTTCTTGGTTCTCTGCAGTTCCACCTTCCCCGCCACCCCTCGAATTCGCCGCCTTCTTCATCCTAATGTTTTTATTCGGCTTATTAATTTGTTTGATCTATGATTGGATTATTTTCCCACTAACCTTCTTTGTCATTCTTTTTAGCGATTCATCTCTTCTAATGTTGTTTCGCTCAAGTATCAACCCTCGCCGGCAACGGTCTTAGTTCCTTGGTTCATTTCTCCTGGTCGTTTTCAAGTTACCGGCGGCAAAGATAAGGGAGTGAGCTTTTAATTTGGATTCTATATTTTTCCCGATTCCTTGTTTGTGCGACAGGTTTGTAGATTTAAGCTCCAACTTCTCCATCCCTGGATTCCGTCACTTGAAACGCCGCTGGCCCCGTCGGTTTCTTCCGCTTCCAATTTCCTCCTCTGCTGTTATGCAATCTTTGGCCTTCACGTATTGGGGACAGTTGGAGCGGATTAAAGAGGGGTGGGCTAAGGAGAGATTGGATGAGGACGCGTGGCCATCTTTATTCCGAAGAAAAACAAGGGCTGCTTTCCTTATCCTTGTCCGCCAGCTTTGGTCGGGCAACTCCTAGGGAGGGTACTTTTGGTGGGCCTGTCAAAAGCCTATAGGCGAGCTTGGGTCAAGGGTGCCTTGTTGTAGTATATGGTTGTTCGTTTTGTAGGTGTTCTTCCTGCCAAGACTGCAACGGTTTCCTTCTCTGCTTCAATTTCAGCATGGTTAGTCTCATGATTTCACCTTCATTGGATAGAAATCATGAATATTTCCCATGTCGTATAGGTATAAAGAGTTTTCTGTTGCATGGCGAAAAGGCTCTCTTATCGATGGTTCGGCCATTTGCCTGAAAAGGCTTCCAATTCGTATCTAGCTGTTCCCTATTGGGAATATCTTTGACAAAAAAAAATTTGAGTGTTTTCAAGTTCAACTGTTCAAGTGAATCGTTTTGCTTAATCTCTCATTTGAGGATTCGAGAGAATTGAGTGGTCTCTTATCAACTAGAGCATGCGTCCAGTTGTGGCGAGTATCGACGATATCAGTTGGCCTTATCCACGAGTTCGAGATTGTTTGATTGGTTTCATATACCAATTGGCCCTTCTCACGAGTTTGGATCTGTTTGATCGATTTTCGTGTTGTTCAAAAGAGGAGAAAATCTTACAAACAGAGTTCGACATTGTACAATTCTGATTTTGGTCCGAGTTTATGAGGATTCTCAAATTAGGGTCATCTCAAGTAGGCTGCAGAGGAGCCATGTTCATGGGTCGGGGGCTCGTTTACACTCGTCTGGTTTACTTTTGAGTCGAGGTTGAGGTATGCCTAGTTTAGTTTGCAAGGTTTTCTAGTCAACTCGATTTGGTGGTCTGTTGAGTTCAATTTGTGAGCTGGCTTTTAGTACGAGTGTACGACAAGTGAGTGAGATCGTATTCAATAGATCTATAATTTGTAATTTCACTTAAACCTTACAAAAATGGTTAACGAACCTATGACTCATGAATAAGAATATTATAAGTAAAATACATATAATAACACATTAAACCAAAAATTTAAAATAAAATAACTTAATCATAAACAAAATTTAGTACAAGAAATTATTATCTTCCAAAAAAATAAAGATTTAATTATTAATGTATTCCAATAGCCTTTAAGTTTAAGTATGTTTTGGTTATTTTTGAAAATAGAAAGCATTTTAAACTAAATAAATTTTCATGTTGTTAATTGGGGTAGTTCGGCCCTGTTGTATCTTTTACATAAGTAGTTTTTAGCCGGAGCTTTTAGATAGGTACTTAAAAAAAATATTTAGGTGTTTGATTGAGAAACTACTAGAAGTGCTTTTTTATATAAGATATCATGTAAAATGACTAACAAAATTACTAATATAAAATATATTTTCTTAAAGAAGAAAATGTAGTCGATTATTTTTATATGAAATAATATTATTTATAGGTTTATTTTATTTTAAATATGATATAATTTATAGAAAATTATATTTTGTTAAATAAAATTAAAATATGGTAAGGACAATCTTATATTTTCAAAACAGCTTTTAACAAAAGCTCCAATACAAAAGCACTTTTCAGCTTTTCAAAAACTGAACTTTTGAAGGTGTTTGGAGCTGATTCAACTTTTGAAACAAAAAATCACTTATAAAAACCGGATCATATGCAATCACAATAAAATTTATTCACTTATTGACCCAATGTAGATGCCTAATTGGAAAGCAACTTGTGTCGTTAGTAAAAAGACTTGAGTTTGAAATCCCTGCAACACTACATTTTTAAATGAATCGCTATTTTCCGCGCGTGCTTTTACAGGTCTTCGCCCGTAGTTAAAAAAATCAGACAATTTTGCCCCTTTCAATTTTAAAAACCCTAAACCTATCAATTCCCCAACGCAACCCTTCCGCCTTCTCTCTTCCAACCATCGTCGTCGGCCAACGCGACCTCCGCCGTTGACCACCAAAAATCATCTCCACCTCCGTCCACAACATCATCACCTCCGCCGGACTACCCAAATCATCTCTGCCGCCGTCCACCACTTCATCGCCGCCGCCGGACCTCCCAACCCACAACCTGCCGGACCTCCCAATTAACTCTAAAATAATCATAAACATAAATATAAATATATTTACTAAGTTAACGAAACAAAAAAAAAAAAACATCTGCTCACCGGTGGCGGACGCCATATGATTCGACAATCAGACGGGGTCCGATCTCCATTGTTGGACGAGGTTCTATCTGCGGCGTCGAACGGGGTCCGATCTCTGGCATCAGACGGGGTTCGTCGGACTTCGGGCCGGAAGGGATACCGGAAGAGGGGGAATAAAAATTATGTTTCCGATGTGTTAAACGGGTGTAATATTAATAAATTGTATTAAACGTGAATAATTAAAGAAATTTGTTTCGATTGATAATTAAGGTTATTTGTGGAATAAAGGTCATATGTTAATGAAGGAATTTTTTATGTTGTTAATTATGCGGAACTAAATTAAAGGAAACGGTTGAAGGACTAATCACTTTAGGTTAATCGTACTTTCCGTGTTAGTCAGCATATATATAATTAATGAAAATAATATAGTAATTAAAAAAATTGTATTAAAAGTAGGTAATTATGGAAATTTGTTTCGGTTGTTGTTAGGTCTAGTATTAACCAGCCTAATACGGGCCCAAGCCCACCACAAAGCATCTCACCTTGGGCCCAAGCCCATTCTAGGGTCCAGTACACCGGGAGGTGTCCAGTCCACCCGGGGGGCGTCCTTTACCAGAAGGCGTCCATCACCGGGAGGCGCCCACTACCGGAAGGCGTCCAGCCTATCCAGGGGCGTCCACTACTGGAAGGCGTCCATCGACAGGAGGCGTCCAGTCTACCGGGTGCATCCATGACAACGTGAGGCGTCCACATGAGGGCTTTGACTCCTATATAAGGAGGCCAGACCCTCCAAGCAATTGGACTTCTCTCCCTTCCCACATTTTACCACTTATGGCTCTCTCTCTAAACTCTATCTCTCTCTACATTCTCTACACTCTATCATATATCCTTACTGACTTGACCGTCAGAGTGTAGATCACGAGGGCCACCCCCGACTCTCCACAGGATTCTTCCACTCCCGAGGAGATCACACGAGGGAGTCCGAATCAAGGTTCCACACTAATCCCCCGGTACTAATCCGGGTCAAACATTTTGGCGCCCACCGTGGGGCCATGATTGTGGTATTCTTTAGTCAGATTTCTGAAGACGAAAATAAAACCCATCAGAGGTTGAAGAAAAAGGGAACTCGACTTCCTTCCCCGCCAGGCCATGGACGTCAACAACTAAGAAGAGCAGCAACAACACCGCTGCAAAATCTGACTAAAGTTGCAACAACTAAAGAAAGAAAGAAAGAAAGAAAAAAAATCGATAGATTAAGGTACTCCGGTCATCGGAGTCGTGTGCACCACCATAGCTCCGATGAGGAAAGGAAGAAGAGTGGCAATCACCATCATGTCACGTCGGCCTCCTCCCACTCTTCCCCAAAAGTCATCGACATCTACTTTTTCCCTCTTTGTCAGGAAAAGCAAGCGGACGACTTTACCGAGGCAAGCAAAGTTTCCGAGGCCAGCAAAGAGGAAGGTACAGGGTGCAGAGGCTATTTTCCCTCCATCCGCTTTGGTTGGTCCGCCTTCCATTTTAGCCCCGTCACTTGGCCAGACCGCTCATCAATCCAACGCGGCCCATCCAAATCCCCCTTAGGCCCTGCCAATACAGCCCGACTCCAGCTCGTGGTCCACTTCATCAACGGCCCAATCCGGGCTCCACCATTAGCCTGCCAAGTAGAGCAACCGCAGTAACGGCCCAATCTGGCCCAACCTCGCCAACGTTTCGTTTCCAATCGCAAAGTCCACCTTCGACGGCCCAGTACACTAAAGACCGCCCAAACATCCACTTGGCCCAGCTTTAGTCTGCCTATTGCGACTCCAAGCCCGCTCACCGTCGTCACTGAAGACTTGGCCGCCTCGCATCAAATCCCATGCGTGCGTCCAACCTGCATCACCAACGCGTATGCAAGGCTCCAAGATTCCAACGCGGCCCATCATGCTCTGTACATTAGGCCCACCAAGGGTGTAAAGCATTGGCCCGCTCAGCAACAAGCATTTCAAAAACAATAAAAGAAACGCGTCCGGCAAGGTTTGGATGATCAGCAACAAGCATTTTAAAAACAATAAAAGAAACGCGTCCGGCAAGGTTTGAACCCGCGTCCAAACACCTTTAGCAAAGATGGAGAGCATATGACTCACTTCTACTGTCACTCCAGGAATTGGCCAAGTGAAACCACTTCCTAAAGCGTAGTATAGCGGGTTTGGGTTTAAATGTTAACCCGAGTCCTAGATTTGATGACTACTCAGTGAATTCTTGTTATCTAGCAATGAAACTTTAATGCAAGTCTAAACTACCAAACAAACAAAGCAAGTAAACTGTTGTATTCAGGTTAAGAGAGGTCACCCGGATATGGTTCCCCCTAGACTGCAGTTAAGCCGGATTGTAATTACCAAGTTCAGTTTCTATGATAGTTATACTGCGGAAGGTTCTTAAACAGCCTAAAGTCTTGACTAAAGGTCTTTAGACCCTCTCAATCTGAGTCTCTAGCGGGCGACTAACCTCCACCGGAGTGAATCCGGTAGGGAGTAAACAGATTGAGGCCTTAACAAACAAAACCTCCACTACCGAAGTGAATCCGGTACAGAATAGTGAGTTGGCTCCTCGACTAAAGTCACCAACTCCCTACCTTCAATCAAGGATGCTCTATCAGCCTAGGCAGATATTCTCATTCTAGGTTAAAGCAGAAACAACAGGAATTTGATCAGGATTCATGTCATTCAATCATTCAAACCTCAATCGAATATAATCAAATCATAGAATCAGTACTTGGGTTCATACAATCAAACCTAACATACAAATCTAGGGTTCTCCATACCCAGATGAATGGGAGAACTACTCCATGGAGAAAGAAGCAAAAGCAGAATCAGACGCGGAATTCATACTGTGAAGGATGGATTCCTGCTCCTGGACGTTGATCGGCACTTCTCCAAGCTCAAGCCAAGCTCCAATGGTGATGAAGATCAAGCTAGGGCACTTGGAGACTCTTGTTCGTCGCTTTCTCTCTCTAGGAATTGCTCTGTCTCTCTAAAACTCGAATCCCCCCCGATTTGTGGCTGGAAATTGGCTTAAAACTAGAAAATCCCGACTCACACGGCAGGCCACACGGCCGTGTGGCCCACCCAGTTGCCCATGTGGCTCCAAACGCTGCGTATCGATTAGTTGAATTCCAGGCTTCTTACACGGCCAGGGTCACACAGCCGTGTAGCTCACCCAGCCTGGCCGTGCGAAGCCTCGCAGAATTCCACACGGCCAAAGTGCAACTTCACACGGCCGTGTAGAAATTATCTGTGACCGTGCGAGGTCTCGCACAATCCCACACGGCCAAACTGGTCACTTGCACGGCCGTGTGGGTTGTGGGTGTGCCCGTGCGACTTCCTTTGTGACTTGCCTCGCACCCGATCTTCGCCCAATCGACCCCGAACTCGCTCCTAAACCTTCATTCACTTGCCAGGACCTGAAATATCACAAACAAGCACAACCTAGCGTGAAATCGGTCTAAAACACGAGAAACCAAATCTCAAACGGTGTAAGAACAGGGGTGAAAACATGTGTAATTAACGGTCTATCAAACTCCCCCACACTTAACCGTTTGCTTGTCCCGAAGCAAACCTAATTCAAACCAATGCAACTATCCAGACCTCTATAGCAACAAACAACCCAGATCGTAGGTAGAGGACTTCCTAGATCATTTAGCAACTTACGAGGTCAACCGACGCACAAGTCATCTCATAGCTTCTTCGGCGAGAACGCTAGTCTCGAGTTGGCATCATGGCAAATAGTGAACAGAGGACCAATGAATTGTGGATGAAGAGATTCTAAAAAACAAAGGATCATGGACTCACATTTTTCAAGGTGCTCTATTTTCTTCTTGAAGATGGTTGGAACCCCTTTTCTTTCTGTTTTGCTTGTTTTCTGTTATTTTTTTATTTTATTTTTTCAAGGGTCCCAACTTGCTTTTCAGAAAATGGGGGCTCCCACCTAGCAGAGGTTTTGCGGGAGCCCGGCTCTTAGCGGCCATGCCAGGAGCGGATGTCTCGAACCTCGTGCGGGGGAAAGACATGTAAGGGGGCTGGAGGTAGTAGGTGGAAATTGGGAACGGATTCCCGTCTCCCCTTACACACTTTCGCCCTATTCGCACGGGAGACGTTATTTTGAAGCACATTTTCGAGCACCTGTTAAACTCAAAACATGAAACAAGAGTCCATGACAGGTAGAGAGTCCACAACACCACACAATTCAAGGGGTCCTAAGATCACTAATTCACTCAATCAACCAACACAATATGAAGAAGAAATGAGACTTCTTAAATGCTTCAACATCCTCCATAGTGCTACACTACCTCCCTAGGTTGCACATTACTATAGAGACTGTCAATTCAAAGCATACTGAGCAGGCAATTGCACGGAAACACGTACTTGGAGCCCTCAAATTTAAAAATTTGGACAGTGGACTAGGCTCCAAGCACACAAACAGATCTAATGCAGTCAAACGATAAACATCCCCCCCACACTTAAGATCGACATTGCCCTCAATGGAGAAGAGGGAAGGGAAAGGGGAACGATGTTACCGGTATGCACGGACTGCAGGAGACTGGAAGCGGACCAGTCGAGTGAAGCGGACTGGAGAGGGACCAGTCTTGAACAAAGCACAGCTAAAGGGGAACAGAAGAGCTCAAACACAATATGTTAGGTCCAATGGTTAGCCCAATAATACATCATCCAAAACAAAAGAAAACATACCAAAACCAAACCGGTTTACAATCCGACTCAAAACACAAGAAAGAAAGTCAAACCGTGGTGGGGTTGCCTCCCCACAAGCGCTTCTTTACCGTCTTTTAGCTGGACGCCCATGGTGGATACTCATGGAGGTGCAGGAACAGGTGCCTCCAAGAGCGGATCCACGTTGCTCTTGAGGTACAGCTTCAGGTTGTGGCCATGCACCCGACGGATGCGACCACCATCATCGGTCAGCTCGACCTGGCCATCTGACAAGATGCAGGCGAGTGAGTACCAAGATGGCCAGGGTGGTCGTGGTGCAGGAGGTTGAACCAGCTCGCAGTGGTCTCCACCCTTCTTCCGTGCAGGCTTAGCAACCTACTGCTTCGGCCGCCACTCCTCCTTGATCTTTTTGTTCGGAGGCGAGGCTGGTTGGAGTGACGGCGAAGGAATGATAAGAGGGTCTGCAAAATAAGAGGTGCAGAAGGATACACGACAGGCTCGTGTACCTGATCAGAAATGGCATGTACAGGCGTGACAGCAAGCATAGCACAGTGATCGAATTCAGTCACAGAGAAAGTAGCCTGTTCAGTCCCAGCACGCAGGATCAGTTTACCATCATGCACATCAATAAGTGCCTTGGCGGTGGCAAGAAATGGTCTACCCAGAATCAAAGGCACATCCACATCCTCATGTATATCAAGAATAACAAAATCAACAGGATATGTGAATGCACCTACATTAACAAGCAGATCCTCTATGATCCCCCTAGGATGCACAATGGAACGATCAGCTAGCTGAATGCTCATCCTAGTAGGGCTAAGTTCACCTAGGTCTAGCTTTTTATACAACTTATATGGCATGACATTTATGCTAGCGCCTAGATCCGCCAAGGACTTGCCTACATGCATGCTACCAATAGTAAGAGGGATAGTAAAACTCCCTGGATCCTTGCGCTTTTCGGGCAGCTTGTTCTGCAGGATAGCAGAACACTCCTCACTGAGCATCACTGTTGAAAGATCCCCAAGTTTCTTCTTGTTGGTGAGGAGGTCTTTCATGAACTTGGCATACTTGGGCATCTTCGAAAGTGCCTCCACGAACGGTATGCTGATGTTGAGCTGCTTCAACATTGCCATAAACTTGGCAAACTCAGTCTCCAGCTTGTCTTTGTGGAGGCGAGTGGGGAAGGGAAGCTGAGGTACATGCTCCTTAACCACTGGTTGTGGCTTGGGAGCAGGGGCTTCCTTCTCCACCCGCACTTCTGCATCGTCGGCTGGAAGTGCTAAAGCAGGTAGTGGTTCCTCCTGTCTGGCCGGGACAGGATCAGCAGATATGGTCTTACCGCTCCTGGTGAAAATGGCATCCAGTTGCTGGTGCTGGTGAGGATCATGAGGATTCGGAATAGTGGTGGCAGGCAGAGTCCCCAGTGCCCTGGTAGTGTTTTGGCGGGCCAAGATACCCACCTGGTGCTGCAGATCTTGCAAGATGGCACCTTGGTTCCTCTGACCTGCCTCCAGTGAGGCTACGCTCTGGTCCAACCTCGTGATAGTTGCCTGAGTGCTAGTCATGAATGAAGCTAGAATATTTTCCAGCTTTGTCATCCGATCATCTGGGGCAGGAGCTGCTGCTGGCTCGGCATACTGACGCTGGGGCTGATGGAATGGTTGCCCCTGCCAAGGCTGGTAGGGCTGCTGCTGTGGGGCTGGCCCCTATCTAGCCTGGAAAGTCTGCCTCTGCTGAAAACCACCGGCTGGTGCTGGGAAACCAGGTGGCTTAGTGGTGTTGCTGCCCCAGGAGAAGTTGGGATGCTGGCG